TTTGTTTTTATATGAAAGTCTGAAAATTACGATACTTCTCATATGGATTTCTGAAATTGTGTAGTTTTGTAATTTTGATGACAATATATGATTGTGTTATCTAGCCTAATATGTATGCTGTGAGGAAGGCCACAATGTGTATGCCAAAATGTTAGCCCCCATGACAGAGATGCAGCTTATCCCAGATAGCCTCGACAATACAAACTCTAGTCATGGAAGCCTGTGCATTCAATACATAATTGTGTCAATTTTGTGAATGCTGCCCTCAGAAATCAGAATTCTTGAATTTATCTCAAAATTGTCTTTTCATTAACTCTTAGCCAATCTTCAAAGGCTGAAAAGTGATTGTATGGTTTTGGGGATATTGCTCATATCACCTACTATATAGAACATTCATTCATTAAAAGTCATCTTTAATTTTTTTAATAATTATGTAAAAAATTAAACACATATTTCTTCTCTTTCTTAGTTTCTCAAAGAGTTATGTTGGCAAGTTGCTGTGATTTTTTGATTCATCTGAACTCTTGACCTTGTATGCAAATCCACGGAGGAACATTAAAGAGAAATTTTACACCTATTTATGTTATTTTTAATGATTAAACCAACCTGTTTCACTAGTATGTAATAGGTTGAAGAAGATCAAAATCGAAAATGTATCAAACATTTTCTTTGATATGTAAGAAATGAATACTCTCAAACCAAAGAAATGAGTCTAACTGTATGACATTTTGTCTTTGTCAGACAAAGTTGTGTCTTTGAAATGTGTATGGTTATTTTTTCCCCCTTAGAAGAGAAATTTGATAGGCATCTTATACCAACTCTTGTTCTTTATCTTGAAAGCTTTATTTTATTTTCAAAATGTTGATTACTTATAAAATGTGATCTACAAGCACAACATTAATTGTTAATTGTTTTACGGAAATTATCAACCTGAGGTTTGATTGAATTTCATGCAATTAGAGAATGAGTAATAGTCTTCGTTAATTTTTAATGTAAGAAATATATTTGTGAAAATGATTATATTTTGAGGTGAAAATTGCAAACACTTGCACAGACCTGAAAGAATATTGTAGCAGAAAACTGGTTGTACTAGTCATAGCTGTATGCAAATTGTACTATGTAATGTTAGTTTAAAATCTGGCATTTGCAATTGATTCATCTTTTATAGATATTTGTTGTGAAATTTGATATTTAATATTGAGGAAATCTAAATGATTTAGTGTAGTATGTTGGATACCTTTGTTTTATTGTTCCTACTTTCATTCTAATGTGTTCAGCTCAAATAATTTTTTACTACATGTAATATTAATGTTTTTCATTTCTGGTATACTGATCTCTAACTACTGCATTTATATTTCCAGTTTCTGTGATCAAAAATATTATTCATGATCAGGAGTGGATCCACTCAAAAAACTTACTAATTTTTTACTAAATAGGAACACAATGAAATAAATTTTCCTTTTTAACATTGTGTAAGGAATAATACAATATTGAATATTGACTTCATCTTTCCAGGTTTAATATTTGACTATTCTGGATCTGCCTCTGGACATGTAATATACATTATGTAACTGTATCTTGTAGAAGAAAAAAAATTTCTAGTTCAGAAAATAAATCAATCTGATGTGAACAAGCAGATATTTAATGTTAGGGATGTCAGAAGTATTTCAGTTGTGAGGGCATAAGTATGAGTTCCTTGATAAAATATCAGAATTTGTATATAATTTATTCATTAGACCCAAATTATAGACAGATTTATAAAAATAATTCATATGTAATTATTGAATTTAAACAATTTTTTCTACATGTAAAATGGAATTGTTTGATGGTAATATGAGTGAGACAAGCAAATTAAAAATATTTATTAAATTGTTTATTAAAGTAATGGTTTTACTTACCTTCAAATACATTCATAATTTGAGTTTTTACTTTGTGATTTGTATAATTTTTATTAGTGTAATTTCATGTGTGTTTCTGAAGCAGGAAGGTGCCCCTTCTATAGAGAGGAGTTTTTGTTCTTTCTGACATATACTTTTGATGTCCCTGTGTGAAGCTTGTTTATTGGAACTCTTCACATAATTGCTACAACTATTCAGGTTGTCTCTGCAGTAGTTAGGGTTACAGTGTTAGTGTGTGAGTGTATAATATAGTGCGAGTGTGTTGAATGTCTTGACACACATTAAGTCTTATTTGGGACCCAACCAATAATAATAAAAATAAATATTAATAATAATTAATAAAAAGTTTTATGTGATAAATACTCAGAATGGTTGTCTGTGGTGGTGACATGTATTTTGAGGTAAATGTAAAACAGATTTTTATATCAGTGTATTGAGATTTAGGCAGAATGGCTGCAACAAAATAAAATAACAAATCCATGGAATAAATGTGACTCATTTATGTTATTTCCTTATCCAATTTTTGTGAGTGATTTTTTTTAAAAACCTGAAATAAAATTCACTTTAATTTGAGACTGATTTCTAATACCATTACATAATGTAATGTATGCTTGTCCAACATTTTCCCAAATTGTACACAACATAGGAAAACTGTGCTATTAACTGGACTTGAGCAAATTGAATTTTTCTTGCCTTCACACAAAATTACTTCTGAAGGAAACCGTAAAAAGTAATTTCTTCATTAAAGATGCCATTTTGCAGAGTGATGAATAATTCATTTAATATATTTTTAAGGATACATATTATCTTAATGAAACAAATACATCTTTTGCCTTGGGTGGGGCATACATTCCAGCAGTATTTAAACTTCTAATAATCCTTGAATTCAAAGAACCCTGTTTCTATGTTAATTATTTGTATTAATGGTTATTCTTTTAGATTCTCTTTCTACATTGTTTTAACTAATTTATTAGGAAAATTAATACACATTAAAAATATTAATTATTTTTATTGTGTATTTTTTTTATTTGCAAAAAAAGGGAAAAGAAATGTTGAAATTGATCAGATCATGCCTGAAATCATAAGATACCTCAATTGGAAACGAGTAATAAAAAGTCACTATACAGTTGAGATTTTTTTAATCATGTGCTAGGTAATAATGTTTGTTTGTGTTTTATTTGCATGTGATTGGTTTACTGCATATGTTGTAGGGGCAGATGCAGGAACTGGCTTTATTCTAGTAAAGAATAAGTCCATGTTTTATCAGAGTGTGTAAGTATGAATAAAATTTGATGATTTGAAAATTATATTTTCTTGTTCAAATGTTTGGAGTTGTTCACTGTATGGAATTCATAAAAAGTATCCACTTCACCTTTTACCCAACTTTTGTTTGCATCATTTTGCAGCTAACTTGAGGAAACTTAGGTAACGTTACGTAATACTAAGTAGAAAAGTATATGTAAAGCCAAGGCAAGTCTACAAGGCAAAATGTGTCAAATTTTAAAAGCAGCTCCTATTGAAGAAATATTGTATTTCTTGTTTTTGACATAATTTATATTAATGTTGCTTGGAAAATTTAATTCATTATCATTTTATTCTGGAATGAAATTGGTCTATTAATTGGTCACAGTTATCTCCAGCTTCATATTGATTTTATTTTTTAATTGATTTAATGCAATTAAAAATTAGACTGATATAGTTCTTGCATTGTTTGTTGTATTGTTTATTAAAAACCTTAATAATAACGACTTATTATTTTGATAACATCCTTTTACAACTATTAATCACAAAAAATTCACATAATCTAGGTAAATTAATCATCATTCATACACATTGTCAAGAGTAATAAAAAAGAATGTATAAAATCTGTTCTATTATTTTCAAATTATAATTTAAAAGTGTTTATAATGGTTTGCTGTGAACTTAAACTATCTATGTATGGGTTTACATAGTTTTTCATAATTTAACATTGATAACATTGAGCAAATTCTCTTGGAATTACAAATCACAATATTGTTAGAAATAGCAGGGGTGGATCCAGAAATGAATTTTGGGAGGGGAAAATCATTTTGTTTTTGTATATTACCAATTTTGTAAAATGTCACAGGCTACACTGAGCTCATGCTGCAATATGATTTTATTCATTTTAATGATAATCCGAAAATATTTTTACTTGAAAGTTTCATGATAAGTTAAAATTAATAGTTACTAAAATATTTTAGGGGGGGAAATTTCCCTTATTTCCCCTCCTTGGATCCGTGCCTGCATATAGAGTAAAGCTTTAGTAAGGACAATTTTATATTGAACATTTTCTAATAGTAAGGAAAATACATATCATCCATGTGTAAATATTATATAATTATATTATCTTATATTTAACATGTTTTGTTTGAATTATCTTGAATTCTTTAATTGCATTGTATCATTCCTGATGTGGCACCCTTTCATACAGTAGTGAAGAACCTTCTCAAATCTAGGAGTGAAGTTCTTCTTGGACCAGATAAATAAGTTGAGGCCGTGACCTTGCAGCGATAAAGTTATTAATTTCAATGAGATGCTGTCTCTGACATCATATCAAAAGACCAGAAAGTACACATTTGCAGACAGCATGATGGGTGTGAATCACTGAGATATTTTAAACTATAATTTTACAGCCGATCAATTGTAATTATTATAGGGGCTACTCTTTCTGTCAGTAAGTATTCTTTTGAATATTATTCACAATTTTACTTTGGGTAAAAATTGAAGCTATGCTCAAGTAAATGACCCAGTGTCTATCATTTGCAAGTCAGCTTTTTCTGTGATACTTGACATTTAAGAGATCACAATAATACACTGCACATGTGGATTTACAGCCCCTTTCTGAACCTGTGCTCTGATTTTGCTTCTTTCTTATCATTAAGTTGCATGTTTTCATTTCCAGTAGTACTGAAGGCTACATCCCAAATTGTCGAATTTGGATTTGACTAGAGATTTGACATAAATGGGATAAGCATCTGTGTACTCAGATTGGAAATATAATTAATGCACCTGGAAGATTCATATCTTCTCTATGGTATTTGCATTACCCTTCATGGAATGTGTGAAGGAAACAATCAATTTCCCATCTTTGCTGTGTCAAGCTTTTAATGGATTAAATTGTCCTTGCTTATTCTATGCCATTTCTTTGAAGACCCCAAATATGGACTTTTTCAAAACCAAGAATATAACAAAATAATTCACAACTTCCTTCAACCGAGAAGAACTTTTTGAATCATTGAAGGGTTAGCAGAGCAACATGCTTGGCCATCTTCTTGCGTTCCTTGTATACATTTGGAGGAGCACAAGTATTGAAGCAATGGAATGCGATATTTTCCACAGAAATCCACAAACTTGATATGTTCCACTCTATTGTCGAAGTAAACACCTGCCAAAAAAGAGAAAAGTTTTCAAGTTTCTTTGTATTTTAGAACCATCTATTAGGGGAGAATTACAATATTGTAAAAGAAAAACAGTTTCATTCTCTTCTCTTTTTCTAAATTTTAGTGAGGTTAGGTAATTGTTGTAGGTGTAGTTTTAGTTCAATAATTATTGTATACTTGCTTTTTGCATTACTTTTTTTTTCTTCAATGTTAACATTTTGTATGTAGAATGAAGATTAAAATACTACATTTTAAGGTTTATGAAAGACTGAGACCATGTAACCATGTGATTATTGTTTAGGTAAAGTCTCTGCAGCATATTGAAAGAGAATTTTGTTAGACTATTAAATTTACATTGTTGGATATTGGAAAAAGTATTTGTACAAGCAATTTTTTTTTATTATTGAAATTTTATGCATATTTATGTTCAACAGATCAGTGTAAAACCAATTAGATAGCAGAGTAGTACTTCAGACCTATCCAAAAGTCAATACTTTTGTATGAAAATGGGAAATGATGAAAAACTGGGACTTCCAAAGACTTGTTTTCATGCAAGGGAAAGATCCAATATGACCTTCAATTCTTAATTGTCGGTGGTGTGTTATTCTTCAAAATATATTCAAATATCTACTAGATATTAATTAAATCAAGAGTTTATGAAGTTATCTCAAAGTTAATTTTCTAAAAAGAAACATTGATTCAAAGAAATCACTAAAGGTTGCAATTTTGAAAAATGAAGGAAGATTTGACATCATCAAAGTGGTTCATTCTGTTTCTAGAAGATTGGAGATCCATCATTAAATCACTCATCTATTTATTAAATAGAAATATGATGTTAAAAAGAATATTATATGAACATGTACAAATACTTTTTCCACATTTCAATTTTTCCATGTTTTATTTGTTTACAATTTTATAACATAGTACGTTATCAAACTTTGTATTTTTGGGGTGTATATGTATATACTTCTAGAACACACACCATACCATTTTTTAAATGTAATGTTAATGAAAGCAATGCAATAAAATTAATTATTCTTTGGTTTCACAATACAAATATGTTTTCCCACTACTGTATTTAAAGTAGTCATGTTTTCTTTTATTTCTACTTAATAATTAAAAAGTTACTTTATTTCTCTTTTGTTTTCTAAATTATTGAAAAGACCAATATTTTTGAGAAAAAACTGTCAAATTTCTTTCTTTCATTGTGTCATTTAGTCATTTGATGAATGAATAAAACCATCAATCTCACCTTGACATTTTGGGTTGACACAGTGATGTGCACTGCCAAGGTACTCCACCAGATGGTGTGGCAGGTCTTCTGGATTGTAGGAGATGTTGTGTAGTTTAATTACTCTTCCTGCATGCTCCAAAAGGCTGGGTGGGTTCAATGACATAGTATTGACAAATCTCACCACCAAGGGGTTGTCGCGCAGGCTGAGCTGTAAGAAGTCAATGAATTGTTCTTGTGAACTCTTCACTTAAGCTCTAATTTTAATTTATTTATTAACTTCCAAGGTTCTGCCCCTTGGCAGGGATAGTGACCTAACTAGTCTTATCACTAAGGAAAATTCTAGTTTTTACATGAGAATTTTCATGAAAATTCTAGTTTTTACACGACAAAATACCTGCATTCAATAATTATTTTACCTTTTAAACAATTTTTACAGACATTCTGAATGATTTAGAACTATTTCTTTTACATACGCTACTTTGCTATAATTACATATTTTCTTGTTACTAGATATTTCTTACATGATTCATTTTATTTGAATATAATTATCAAAATAAAAAATTTCAAATATACGTTTTTCAATATATGTTACTAAAATTGTCTTTCTTATAAAGTGTACAGTAATACTACTGCGCTTCAATGATCACTATCCTTTACCATGAATTACCAAACTTGATTGACTTGATTTGAACAATGATTTGAGCATCCTAGGTGAGACTCGAACCCTAGGGCCTTTCGGTCAGAAGGGGGTGACGGAAGCCATGGAAAACCGAAAATGGTAGATGTCTTATTTCAGCGCAAAATGCAAGTAATCTAATTTAATGTATTTTTTATTCGAAGTACTTTACACAATTGTCTTATTTCTTCCTCTTAAGAAACGTGTATGAGCCGAAACTACTCGTAATTTACATCTAGAAATGCAGAAAATACAACGTACCTCAGCTAAACACTTCAATCCAACTATTTCAGGCGGGAGCGTTCGCAGGCGGTTTTTATGCAAAAGAAGTGATCGCAGGTGCTTGAGATTGGCGATTGAAGCAGGCAGGCTTTCCAGTTGGTTGTCACTTAGCACAAGAGCTTGTAGGTTTCCCAGTTTTCCAACAGTCACTGGAACCTCAGTCAGCTGGTTGCCTCCAATATACAGAACCTGCAAGCTGAAACAATATATATATATATTAATATGCGAAGGGAAAACTTTCTTAGTATATTGCACGCATGGGGGAAAGTGAGATTTGGCATTGTTAAGTTTATACGCAGGAGCAGAAAGCTACAATTTGTATAACGGAACACGGCGGTTCTTCCTCTCTTTCTCTCTCGCTCGCTCTCTTTCTCTCTCGTTCGCTCTCTTTCTCTCTCTCACTCTTTCTCTCTCACTTTTTCTTTCTCTCTCACACACACATATGCATACATACATACACACTTACATACACTACATTACGCATGTCGAGAGCATAGATATTGTGTAGGTCGGTGGCGGATCTCGCCAATCAGCAGGCGAGGGGAAGACCGACATCTCCCTGGATAATTCTCTACACTGACGGGCGTAATGACCATAGCAGTTGACGCGCCCCAAAACGATCGATCGATCGAATAGAGGGAACGAGGCCATTCAGTTTCGTGGTTCAAAAAAGACTTGCGCGTTTCAATCGATTAAAAATGTATTGTGGTGCTCGTTGGGCATTTTGCTTTGGATGGATCTAAGAATGAATGTTTTACGTTAATTACGTTACTCGAAAACTAGAGTGTCTTTATGAACTTTGATACGCGTGGCAAAGCATCAAATGTGCCTTTGAAGAAGTCGACAAAACAGTATTTTGGAATAAAATCCTTTGGAAATTATACTTTCGAATTACTTAAGGATATTTTACCATGTTAATCGCATAGGCCGAAAGCTGGAGCTCGGTCATGAAATTGAACACGCGTAGCGAAGCGTCAATTTGCCTAAAACGTTCGAGTATATAAGATTCCATTCCCTCGTGGGTTCGAGTTGTCGTTTGGCAAATTCTCACGGAAGTAAGAAGGAAAAATCACTTTTTGTTTTCAAAGTTAATATGACGCTGTACAAAAAGAAAGGATTCTTATTAGATGTAGCACAGTCTGACATACAGATCCAATAGTGTTTACAAATGTCTGGAAATGTGCATATTAATGGCGTGAGAGCAATTTTAACAAAACTAAATTTGTGTAATTTTTTAGAAAAAAAAAAAATCTCCAAAATTAACTTCACATCTGCACAGCGCACGAGCAATACAGCTAACTCGCTGTTCAAAAAGTAGGGGTAGTCCAATGCGAGTTAGGGTTTGTAATCGTCCAGAAATGTGTTTTTCCTGCGTGAATAACTAGTTTCATTGGTTTAATTTATTGGTTTGCATGTTTCTTCAAGAAATGTTAATCAAGTTTTTCAGGACCGAGTCTGCTTGTCGTCGACATGCTAGGAACGTTTTTGATGTAGATTTTGATTAATTTAGTTAAAAAAAAACAGTAAAAATTGTACGTGACGTGTGGGGGAGAAGATTATCTGCGCTCGTTTTCTTAGGTTTCAGAATCCCTTCCCGTCATTTTAACTATAAATAGTTGGCAGATGAGTAAAAGTTTAAATTAAATAAAAATAAATTTTAAAAAATCGTAAAATTAGCAATATTTGAAAAAATAGACATTTTCGTATCCGAGTTATTGAAAACTTAATTGCATCGGTAAACGAATTGCAAGTATGATTTTTCTGCATTGCTAACAAAATAGTTACTCGCCCTTACCTCTTCTCTTACGATTACAAGCAAAAGGAACGTGCGCATAGCGAAGCTACATTTACGTCCAGAAGCAAAACAAGGGACCATCTCAACATTTGCTAAATGGATCAGGGAAATTGGATAATAACCTGATCAAGATGAGGGTCGTTGACCCGGAAGCTGAAGTATATTATTTGTTACAAACATATTAAGTCTTTAAAAATGTACAATACAAATGTAAACCAATTTAATATATATATCACTGTTTTGATCAAATAAACATTATTTTTCTTTTTGACAATCAGTATAGTCTCTAATTGTATAGAAACAGTTATGCAGCAGAAAATATTTTACTTTTAACTTAAATTTGTGAACCGACTTCAATTGTTTAATGTCATCTGGCAATGTGTTGTAAAGTAACGTAAATGTATTGTCTGTGGATTTCTGATAGTAAACTGTTGATACTGACACTTGATGAATGTGATTTCTACGACTTGTATTGGAATAATAAATATCAGTATTGCACGACAATATGTTCCCACCGATAAGTCACTTTTGACAAATATTACAGATTCGTAAATGTATATAGGCAAGGCAGATGTCAATTCCAAGCTCAATGAAGAGAGGCTTTCAAGGATCACGCGAATGGCATTTTTTCATAATTCGATTTTCTTTTGCAATCTAGAGGTCTGAGTACTACGTGATGAGTTTCCCCAGAATTTTATACCATATCTCAGGCGGGAATGTACGTTTTCAAAATACACGTAACGAGCTGCGTGATGGCTGACAGAATTTGAAAGAATTCTGAATGCGTTACATACTGAACTTAATTCAGTGTTTAATTTTGTCATATGTAATGCATTGCAAAAAATGCATTGAACCTGTTTTTCCTTCATTAACTATTAATTTGTTATTTCCAAACCAATTTTAAACTTCTGAAATCGTACTATTTATTGTTTCTTTTCGCAAAGAACATTCGTGTCACCGGGCAACAGAACGTTCTGTTTTTATTAGACGACGGCATATCGTTTAGGTATAACAGAAAGAGGATAAGACCTAAGATCGAGCCTTGTGGGACCCTATATTCAATTGATAAAGAATTGAAAAGATAAGTAAATAATGTTCTTTCGTGCCAGTACGGTATTTCTACTCTTTGAGATAGATGTTTAAGGTACAAGGTTATCCAATCTAGAGCGATACCACGAATTCCATAAGAAGGTAATTTTGATAGCAAGATGCTGTAGTGAATAACGTCAAAAGCTTTCGGAATATCTAAAAATATTCCAATGGGTGCTTCATTTTGGTCCATTGCTGAAGCAATATCTTTAAGAAAAGAAAAATTGGCAGTTTCCTTAGATTTTGATTTTCTAAACCCGTGTTGTGAGTCTACGTTTTTCCTGAGAAAAGTTTCCATTCGCGTATAGAAAAGCCTCTCTAATATTTTTGAGAAATCTGAGAAAAGAGAAATTGTTCGGTAATTTTGAATTTCATATTTGCTCCCTTTTCTAAAAAAAAAAGTGGCTTAATGTCGATCGCTGTTTTGAAAATATCTGGAAATATTCCTATGCATAGAGAAGCATTGAAAATGTGAGTTAACGGGTGTGTAAAGATATGTACACAAGTTTTCAATAAACAATCCGGAAATTTATCTAAACCAGATGAATATTTATTTTTTAGTTTACTGACTATTTGTAAGATTTCGATAAAAGAAGTTTCGGAAATAAACATCATGTCGAAATTTTTTTTGAAAGGTAATCATGTTGAATTTTGCGGTTTTAGTCTTCACAAGTTCAGCCACAATTCTAGAAAAGTGTTGGTTGAAGAGATTTGCCTCTTTTTCCGGATAACTGGCTTCTCTTTCATTATCCTTTAAAACAACATTGTCTACTAAGTAACGAGGTGATGTGGTCGTACGAGTATTTTTTACGATATTCCACATTGCTTTAGTTTTGTTACTAGCGTTAAAAAAATTCTGATTATTTTTCATCATTCATTTTTAGAAGGCACTCGGCTCCGTGCCCTGCTTATTGATTGTTTTGCGTCAACTGCTGTGGTAATTAGTGCCGTGCGTGTTTGTATCACAGGTCACGGCGGTGTTCTTCCTCCACTGTATGGTGAGATCCAGCGCTGACCTACATGGTGGCTTGCGGAGTTTCCCTATTCAGGTATCTCCCCAGCGAGGTCTCTGCCGGGACCTGCTCAAAGCTCCCGACTGGTTTTCTGGCGTGTGTTAGGAAGAGGAAGGCAATATTGCGAACAGTTCGTGACCCGTTTGTTAGAGTACCGCTCCGGCATTCAGCTGCTCCGGCATTCAGCTGTTGATCGGAGAAACCACAGAAACCTACCGATCAGAGCAGTTGGCCTCTACAATTGTTCTCCAGACAGCAGCTGGATTCAACCTAGCTTTGTCTGCCACCGTCGGGACTAGAACCGGAGAGGCACTGCTGCCCTGAGCCGCCTCAGCCGTGCCCCTCCTCTGTGACGTCAGCCACGCGCACAGATTCCTCGCTGCCTGCCCCCCGGACCCAAGCGCCTAGAGACACTGGCCTGCCGAGTGCGGGGCTGCCTGGTGGTTATCGGCGGGGGCTCGGGTCGGAGGCCGCGGCCCGGCCGATAGCAGACTCTCCGCTCTGCGGGCGGCCCCCGGCTGCAGCGCGTGCAGCGGGACTTCGATGCTCTAAATGGGAGAGTTTTTGCTCGCCTCTGCGCGCAGCAATCGACTGCAATCTCAATCTGCGCATGCGCAGAGGAACAAAAGTGTTGCCAAACTTGAACTGTTTGCTTTAACTTATTAGGGAGTTTGTGCCACGAGAATCACTATCGATCTTCTGCGCATGCGCTATTCTAAGTTTCACATCATTTTTAGTTCATCTGTAGATCGATAGTGCTGTCCGCTATGACGTGAACAAACTTCCTCATTCCCTGAATTGCACAGATGCACTAGTGATGCAAAACGTGAACTGCGAAAATGCGCAGAAGATCGATAATGCTTTAACTTTCGAGGATGCAAACACTATTAAAATTACTAAAACATCGACCTCAAATTATCCGTTTCAAAACATCGATGTTTTTAAAACTGGATTAGTAACTATTAAAGTTCACTCAGATGGGATTTGATTTGAAAGTGGCCGTTTGTATTAATATCTTTCTGAGATTTAACTGGCAAAAGAAAGTAAAAATAATCTCAGAACAATTAACAAAACTTGGATTATCTGCTTCGATAACTCGAAAATAATCCCTATAGGCTTTATTATGGACGAAAACTCGGCCTTATTTATTTTTCACCCTTGGTCATTTCTGTTTGAAGAATATTCAGTTTATGGATATCTCAAAATAATTATAGAATTTTGTTGTGATGAACTTTTTTCATTTTAAAAATATCGACGTCAAAACATTGAACACGAAACATTGATAATAGAAAAACATCG